TAACTCCACCTGGCCCCTTCTCGCAACCCTCTCACCCACACTTGCAGGTGAGTCGCGGTCTGCTCGCCCCTGCACCGCCTTGACCTCATCCTCCTGTTCACCCCCTGCACCGCCGGCCCCACCTCCTCCTCGCCCCTTGCACCACCGGCAGATGAGCAAGGCGGCCGGCTTCGAGCGGCGGCAGCGGCAATGGCCCCCCCCGCGCGACCTCCAGCGCAGCGTCCGCGCCAGCGCCAAGCGCAGCAGCCTCGAGTGGCGGTCGTTGCCTCCTCTTCCCTCCCTCTCCGGCTAAAGTGGATCTGATGCCGCCGCCGTCCTCCTATCTTTCCCTACTGAGCGGGCCTCGGGCTGGCCCGGCCTCCTTAGCAGGTCGTGCTTATCGGACCAGCCCGCCCCGAAAATTCGCCCGGCAGGCCATGCCTGGGCCATCGGCCAGGCACGAAGGTCCAAGGCGGCACGGCCCGGCGGCACGTCGGGCCATGCCGTGCCATGCCCAGTCGGGCCGTGCTTGGCACGGGGCGTGCCGTGCCAGGCCGGGCGCCCCGTTTGCTCATCTTTAGTTCCACGTATTTTAGCCAAACGGTTTCAGCTCCACGTACTCTGTTCGAGGAAAAATGTTAGAGTTGTGAGAGCATCTAAAGAGATGCTCCACAAACTCCAGTTTTGTGGAGCTGCTCCAAGGTGGAGTTTGTGGAGTAGCGTTTGTGGAGCAGTCCCAAACACCCCCTTATCTTGTGCATGCCCCACATCATCATCATCTGAGAGTGGGTCTCCAACGGGTGTGGAAGTCATTAGCTTGAAACAACACGTACCCAATTATGGGCCCGTTCGGTTGTTCCGGAACGAGCCTAGGAACCGTTTCTGTAGATAATGGTTATTCAAATTAACAAAGCAATTCTGCCAGGATTCTATCCTAGAGGTCATTCCGTAGCAACCGAACAATTCCTAGAAGGAGAGAGAAAAAAAATTACCACGTCAACACCTGCAAGAGCCTAGCTCGCACGCTTCCGAAGGGCAGCCGCAACACAAGCCTATAGAATCGTTTATTGTTGGCTGATCAGTAAAAAGTTGACTTCCACGTAGGAACCATGAACAGAGACCTCTGTTCTTCCTCACGTAGGATAATACTTTCCTCGATCACGTCATGGTTATGGAGAAAAAAGATTTGTTGGAGCTAGCCTCACTGCCTACTACAACTCGTGCTTCAACATCGGCTTAAGTCTTTTTTGAGATGGAGCATCCGTACCTTCTGCATACACTGTAGACTTATCGGACTTCTTGCAGAACCACCATTTGGGATGAGAGGGATCCCTGGTGCAGTGTGGAGCCTAGGGCTCCCGACCACCATGGCATGTTGGGGCTGATCTAAAATCGTGTGGTGGTCGTGGTACATTATCTATAGTTTTTTTTTAAAAAAAAACTATTCCTAACCTCCACGCCAGTGATTCATACACATAGTTGGGGCGGGATGCCTTGAGAAGGTCCAGCAGGCTGCAGGGGATAATCCGAAATAAAAACATACATAGTTAAACTTTTTTTTCACTGAGCACATGCTCTACTCACCTCCCATTACTCTTTTTTTTTTCTTCCAACGCTTTACATTGGTGGGTGCTATCCTCTTTTTCCTTATGTATCACCACCACCACCTTTGCTTTTGCCATGCAATTTGCCTCTCCTAGAATACGGTGCCAACGCTCCTTATGGACTTGTCATCTCTTAACGGCTTGTCCGGATGCACTTTTATTAACCTTAATCTATATGCTTTGCTTTAGTGGATTAAGATGAAAATCAAACTAAGTTCAATCCAAATCAACTTCAATACACATGGATTAGTGGATACTACTACAGGAAACTTAACTAAGGCGGGCAAAAGGGGTTTAACCGAGCCGGTTTTTGCAACCGCCTCAGACTAAAGGTCATGGTTAATCATGGCCTTTAACCGAGGCGGTTGGTCGTCCGCCTCGGTTAATCAAATAAAAAAAAAAAAATGAAAACCTATGGACAAGCCCAGCGAGTCCATCCACGGGCCTACCAAGCCCATCCACGGTTGCCGCCGCCGCCGCTCGCCGGATTTGAGCACCCGCACCGCGCCTCCACTACGGATCCGGACGCACCACCACCAGATCCGCGTCTTGAGAACCAGATCCACAGCCGGGGGAGCACGGGCGGCCAAATGCGGCTGCTCCACGGCCGGATCTGCTCGCCACTCCACCACCGCTACGGATCCGCTCGCTCCTCCACCATCAGCACCATCGCGGAGGAGATCGAAGGGTGTGGGGATGAGGGGGGCCATCGTGGAGGAGGGGCGAGGCCGGGACGCCGTGAGGCCGCGTCGCCTAGTGGCCAGGCCACCGCGCCATCGGGTGTCTAGGACGCCGCGCCCGCGTGCTCCTCCCAGCGGTCTCTAGATCCGCTTGGGTGAGGGAGTGTGAGGCACAGGAGAGGGAGAGGGAGGGAGGCATAGGAGGGAGAGGGAGACCGACGGCGCGAGGAAGGGAGGGAGGAAGTGTCACGACCGTGAGGCGCGCCCCTGCTGCGACTGCACGAGTGGGGAGAGAGGGGAGTGAAGAAACCCTAAGACCCTATATTTATACTGCTTCCGGCTATCGGGCCTCGCCTAGGCCTATTGGGCTTGGCCATATTAACCAAGGCGGGCCTTATAGGAGGCCCGCCTGGGAAAATGGCTTTATTTTCCCAGGCGGGCCTCCTATAAGGCCCACCTCGGTTAATAGATTTTAGGCTCGGTTAATAAAAAATGACCACCTTGGTTAATCCATGCATTAACCGAGGCGGTTGAAATGCCTGCCCGCCTCCGAGACACTTTACCAAACGCTGCACAAAAAAATTATGTAGTAGTGGGATATGGGTGCATCAAACAAAGCCCAAGGTGGTAAGAACACTTCACTAGGGGGGGGGGGTAATGAAGAAAACCGAAATGGGAAACCCATTTTTAATGGACTTTATACCCCTACACCCTTAGATATTTAGTATTTTGATGGTGACGTGACATGATATATATAACATAAGACATAACTACAATTTTTTATAATGGTGCCTATTCAATAACAAGAAGTGCCATGTGAAAATAGCATATATATTCAATAACAAGAACCGTTCATATTGCTATTGGGTTAACGTACACCACCTACATCCATGATTTATATGATTGAGAATTGGTTAACTCACATAGAGAAGAAAGGAAGAAGATCGATCGTTGTTAGGAGAGGAGCGTGGCTTACAGATTTGTTTAGGTAATTCTGAAAAAGCAATATGATTTCTTTCTAAAAATCTACGATTATTTATCATGTTGTATATATTTCAGCCTAATTCTAATTAGGTGACTCAGAGAACCATGTTTATTCATCACATGCCAATTAATTGGCGAACCTTCAGTGCATCTCTCACCGTTGATATATATCGCGTTTAATTTGAATGACAAAAAATGATTCTCTCTCCTTCCTTCAGTGCAAATGACTGCAAAGCTTTTGCATGTATATATCCAAGACAGATGAGAAAAGGTGATGCCGCCATGCCATAGAGCTAGTAGCGGGGTTGAGAAGGGGACAGGTGCGTGACATCCTGGCCTATGCAATGCAATTGCCTAACACTCTACCTTCAATTGCTTGTCGACCAAGGTCAAGCAAGTGCATATGCAAAGCTCCAAATCTAGGGGTTTGTTTTGGGTGCTCAAACTTTCCAAGCAACCAGAAAGCAAGCTTTATTCCTCCCAATCTGCTCAGGAAAGAGTAGTGGCCGCCGGCCGGCCTGATGCCATTACTGATGCGTGATCAAGTCCAGAAGCAATTCTATCAGCTCTTGTGTTGCAGCTAGCTAGCACACATGTGCTGAATGCCCTCCACAAACCGAAAAAGCTTTAGAGACCATGCAAAGCTACGGCTGTGCATTCTCACACGTGGGACGAAGCTAAGAGGGAGGTTTTCAGTGGATCGAACAAATAATTGTTTTGCATTGGAGAGACAGATAATCTATGTACTAGATATTGGAGCTAGCTAGGTACAGTGCAAGTCATGCATGCATAGATAGATGCAGTGTTTGTGACTTGTGATAGACACTACTTGGTTAGTTGATGCATGCAAAGACGTACGAAAGTGATCGAGTCTTGTGTGTGCCTTATCTTTCTATTCCTAGCGAGCTTCTATTGCTTTCGTCTTGCACATTGCGAGCAAGGCAAATATGAGTGGAGTTAGTTATCCTATCTAGTCATATATGACATATATGAGTTTTTTCTTTGTTTGCTTTTTTTGTTGTTGAGGATATTATATTGAGCTAGCTAGCAGTAGTCTATCTCCACTGCAATAATGGTGCACATATCTCTTATTATCTCCTGTGATTTGTAGACACATAATATTGAGTTTTAAGAAAACAAGGTATATTGATGGGATTAGTTTTACTTATAGGCCTCTCCATATAGAATAGTATATACTAGCACTTCAGTATAGATTTTGCTATCTTTTGTCAACCAAAAAAAGTTTACTTCTCTTCTAAGTAAATGGACTTATACATACATCATCACTGGAGAGAGAGGAAGAATAGTTGAAACTTACAATAACAGAAAGAGGAGACATTTCAATTTGTACGCACAAATAATTGACCAAAGTCTGAATACCAATAATAATGATCTATATATATACTTGCCCATTTTGTCACTAGAGGAGGCTAACAAATGGGCCTCCCCAGTTCAACCACCGCTACATACTAACATTGCGCACACAATATTGGTTCAACTTGTATAAACAATACCCTCCTTTTCCAACCTCTATAAGAATGAATCTTAAGAGGCCCCAAAAAAAAACGAACAAAAAATATAAAAGGGGTATACAACTTTCGTATATCGTATAGTATCTTTGGAGTTAGAATATACTAACTATATATAGAGAGTATTATATATGACTTGTCTTTCATAAGTCATATCTAATGTCAAGATCACTACATACTCGCATGTATATTTCAGTCTTTGGATGTGTAAAACGCAAAATTGCTCATTGCATCTTCCAAATTTCCTCCAAGGCCCAAAAGTTGTCGGTAATGCTCTCGGAGAAGCCTTGCACCCATCCACTGAGCTCCGGGTCCTGAAACTGCCCACCGGTAGTAGCCTGTACCTGCACGGCCGACAGATCATGATCAGACGACGGCCACAGCCCCTGGTGGTTGGCCTCCTGCGCCGCCCAATCTCCGCCGTTCATCAACATCTCGCCGGCGAGCACGTTCGCGAAGAGGCCGCCGCCGTCCTCGTACGACTCCGACGCGAGCGAGTCGGACGACGACGTAGTCGTCGTCATCGCCGCCATGCCCGACGACAGCGCATGCAGCTGGACGTCAGCGGCGCCGGCGGCAGCGTAGCCACCAGCGAGGTCGTTGCCAGCGCCGGCGGCCGCAGCTTGCTGCTGGTGGTGGAGGAGGCGTAGGTGGTGGTCGTCGGCCGCAGCAGCGGCGATGTCGATGTCGACGAGGTGTGGCATCCAGAGGTAGCGCATGGCGTCCTTGAAGCGCTTGCTGTTGGCGTCGCAGTTGAGCTGCTTGGCGTGCTTCTGCACCCGGGTCCTCCAGTAGTTCTTGATCTCGTTGTCCGTCCTCCCCGGCAGGTGCTGCGCGATCTTGGACCACCTGAAATCAAAATGACAGGAGGATGGAAATGCAAATGCAATTAGAGGGAATGCGAGGGATGGAAATGAAAGAACGAACTTTTCTGGAGAGAGAACAGAGAAGCAAAGTCTAGACTAGTAACTAGTAGAGAGAAAGAGAAAGTAGAAAAGTCTCAGAAAAAGAAAGAAAGTAGAGGCGTGCAGCTTTCGTGAACAGTGCTAGCTGGCCGGTGAAAGTGAAGCGTGTGCTGTACTGATCGATCGATTCTGCTGGTCGATAACAACATGTATCATGCATCCACTTTTGACCGAGAAGACTTGTACGATATGAATTGTACTATATATATGTATGTATGTATGTATGTATGTATGTGCCGTGTGCGTCGTGTCATGCCATGGACCGCACTGTTCACGTACGTACCGACTCCACGTCTACGGGGTAGTGCAGCGGTACCGTGGACGCACGTGCGTACAAATACGGTCGGCGACAGGTGCATGTACGTGGACACGTCGTCGGCCGCGCCGCCCTCACTAGCTAGTACTGCTGGCGATCGAGCAAGCTGGCGTTCAACAACAGGCTACTAGCAGCTACCGTGCGTCCACACGATTTCCAGTCTAAAAACTCCGGCGCCTAGGCCTAGCAGCTAGCTCTCTATGACTGGCACGTATACGGTGTAGGCACGTGCAAGCTGGCGGCGTGGCCATGGCCATGGCTGGCCGTACGTCGCGGGCGTTGTCGTCGTCGCGGGCTGGAACAGAGTATACTGACGTACGTGATGCTAGCTAGTATAGCTAATGATGACAAGGATCGATCGGAGGAAGTTGACTAATATAGTAATTAATTACCGGTTGCCCCAGCGTGTGTGGAGGTCGAGGATGAGCAGCTGCTCGTCGGCGCTGAAGTTGCCGCGCTTCACGTCGGGCCGGAGGTAGTTGAGCCACCGCAGCCGGCAGCTCTTGCCCGTCCGCTTCAGACCTGCATGATCGATGCATGGACACGTACATATGTAGTACGTGTAGGATGATATAGATCAGTCATCGAGAGACAGAAAGGTGGTGATATATATTTATATGATGGCTGGCCGGCGTGCTCGATAGTTACCGGCGGCGCGGGCGAGGTTGTTCCAGCGGCCCTCGCCGTTGTCGGCGATGTAGTTGACGAGGGTGAGGTCCTCGTCTACGGTCCACGGGCCACGCCGGAGCTCCGGCTTCTTCTCGGGCTCCTCCTGCGCTCCACCTCCCTGCTGGCGGCGGTGGCCGCCGTGCTCCTCGTCGACGGCCTCATCAACGGGAGCAACGGCCGGCCGGGAGCAAGCAGCAGCCTTGGCGGCGGCGGCGGCGCTGCTCCTGCTCCTGCTCTGCTGTGTTGCGGCCATGCTAGCTAATTGTTTGCTGTACGTTGTCGATCGACTAAAATAGGAATTGGTTGTGAGGCCGGGCTGAGCTGAGAGAGGGGAGTTGAGGCCGGTATCGGTATGATGATGACTTTAGCTAGCTTAATCGACCAAGTGTTGGCTGGGGAGAGAGAAAGAGGAGGAGAAGATCTAGTGAAGATGATCAATTAGTGGGAGAGGGATGGCAATTGGCAAGTCCTTTTATAGCCTAGGATGGAGAGAGAGAGAGTGAGAAAGGATGTGAGGGAATTTAGTCTGTGTTCAAAAGGTGAGAGAGGGGAAGGTTGCCTTTACTCAACTCTAGTTCAACTCAAACAACTCATATATTATTGGTCTTAATTAGTCCCTCTATAAAAGTAATTCTCTCATCAATTTATTAATTTTATTTCCAACCAATGTAAAGAAGCCAACTTTCTCATCAATTTATTAATTTTATTTCCAACCAATGAATTAGGCAAATACCACAAGAGGGACTAAAAGCAACAACTTGAACTCTAAACTAGGTCATGGGCATTTCGTCAAGGTAGGCTAAACCTCGAGTTCAACCCCCTCCACCAGCTGGATGCCGTCAATCGCGCAGCCAGCCGGGAAGAGCATCCTTTTATTGCCTCGCAAGAAGCCAACTTGAACTCTATATTTCGTCAACAAATGACTCCAAGGGTCACAATGGCCGTTTTTTTCCCCTTTTTTATAAGATACATGCTAGGGGGCGTCCCCACAGTGGACGTTTTTTTTTCGATCTTGCCATCAGTGGGAATTTGGGAGTTAAGCATTTCCAATTTACTTTAGAGAGATAACTAAGCCAGCCGGACAAAAAAAAAAGTCAACATGAAGGCGGCGAAGTGTGATGGAACTAGAGGACGAGTGGCGGAAGCATGGTGTTGATTAACAAATGCAGGTTTTAACGGGTTGACCCATTGACCAATAACACAAAAGTTAAGAATCTGTTTTAACGGGGTACCCCAAGCAAAGATCGAGAAACTTGACCCATTGACCCGGAATAAACAAACGAGGTCAAATCTCCGATTTAAGAATCTGGGTATCCGACTATTACCCGTTGGGTCGACCCCCTATTTTTCCCTCGTCCGGGGCCTCGGTGTTCTCCGAGCAAGTATACCAACCCGTGACCGCCTTTTTGACCAAACTGCTCGACGAACGTCACATCCACCCAACCACTCCGGCACAATCGATGGCACAGAGCGAGTGACCGAGGAGAGACGCAGAGCAGAGCGGGGTTTACCGAGACCAAGACATCGCAGCGTGGGGAGTCGAGCGGGTTCTCAGTAGCCTCGGAATCGGCGGACCGACCACTCCGTCTGGCCGGAGCCCCAAAAAAAAAAACTTTTATGAAGACCCCTCGAAGGGCCTCGGGACAGTGGACCATGTATTAATAGCCTCCGCCTCAAAATGTAACTATTATATACCCACTACGTAAGCCACGATAGGCGGCTGAGAGAGCGATGGGACAACGCTACACCATCCCACCGACAACATTCATATCCAAGGCGCCGTCATGGTCAGCAAGACCCGCATCCGCACTGGTCACTTCTCGGGCCTCGCACGGCAGCGGCCTCGCAGCGGCGAGCCTCGGCTCGCTGCCTCGGCAGCAGGCCTCCTGCGCGACGGCTACGAAGGCCGAGTGCTCCACCAAGTCAATAATCCGCGATGGCAATGAAGACCATACCGATTGGACATCTCACAACTCCCACGACAATGCCATGCCGCTCGTAGTAAATACGTCATCGAATAGTCCTTGCTCCACGTGTAGCTCATGTACTCTGGTTTCCTCCTGCGGCTATAAAAAGGAGGCAGCCAGTCCTCAGTTCCTCTCGCATCGAACAACCGCCTCGTTCCACCTCCTCTCACGAGATCGATCGAACTCCTCTCTCGCCTAGCTTGTAACCCCCTACTAAGCACCCGGTGCAAGGATACAAGAACACATTCTCGGTTCGTGGGGCATCCATTGCCCGAACCAAGGTGTCTCTTTGCATCTTCATCCGGAATTGGGAGCACGCAGCATAAATTCACTAGTCGGTTAAGGACCCCCGGTTCCGAAACTCCGACACTGGTATTATTACCCGTTGGGTCGACCCACTATTTTTTGGTGTTAGAGCAAGTATAATAAGCGACTACAAACAAACAGGCTGAATGCTGAGGTGGAGGAGAGATAGAAAGAGAGAGAAGCGGGTTATAAGCTTACAGCCGGCTGGACAAAAGAACAAAAAAAACTTTGTGAGAGAGATAAGTGGACCATGTATTAATAGCGAAAATGTAACTATTATATAGATAGGCTGAGAAGTAGGCTACAAAGATTCATACAACAGCAGCCACATCCTCTAAAGTCACCAGGCCGTGTGGGCGGTGCGCCATGCAAGTCACCCGTGCTAGTCCTCAGTTCCTCCATCGATAACCCTTCTCCTCATCGATCTCTCAACGTGGATGGTGAGTCTAGGTTCCTCTTCCTGGCCAGCCCAGCCCCAGTATGTGCTACCTCACAAATTATGATGCCGTTTGAATTTCTCACATTTGCTCAACGTGGAGGTGAGTCTAGGTTCCTCTCCCTCAGATGTCTGTATGTGCAAGGAAAATTATGTTTGAATTTCTCACATTTAAAATTCAAAATTTTCAAATGACCTCGGATGGAGAAACTACGACCAAAGTTGTAAGTCTCAGTGATACCTACAACTTTGTAGTTGAATTTTTTTTACTAATTTCAAAATTCTGAAAAGAGAATACGAGGGGAATGAATATGTCTTATGGACACAACAACGATTGTGTTTTTCGAGTGGAAAAGTGTGGGTGGCTCCACGGTGGGTCTCCTCGGATTAATTTCTTTTTTGCTATTTTTGGCCAAATTTATAATTTTTGGACAATAATTTGTAGAAGCAGCTGTGTTTTGAGATGCTTCTACAAGATCGATTTCTAGAGGCGGCTCCTGTTCGTAGTCATTCCTAGAAATCCAATTTGTAGAGGCGGCTGGATTTCTACTTCTACAAATCGAGACAGAAAAGTAGAGGTAGATGGACTAGCCGTCTCTATAAATACTTTGGTGCTTTGGATTTGTTCCAAGATTTATGTTTATGGAATTATGGGTACATATATGATCTGCCCATTCGTTCCAAATTCTGGTAACTATCAAGATACATACATTTCATAGAGAATTTAACTAAACGAATTGCATATCTTATATGTTGACTATTTTTCAACAAATTTGATCAAAATCAGACTAGTTTAACTTAGAAAGCAAAAGTGAGTTGTAACTTGGAACAGACTGAGTAAAAAACTAAAATCCATGTGTTTTTTTGTCTCCTAACACCTGCAAGTTTTTGCTTCATCTTAGGATTACTTTTACACTCCATAAATTACGTGTCAGGGCCTCCAAAACATTTGGTGGTGGAGACAATTTTTTTTACTAGAGCAATAACTAAAAGAAAATAAAGCTGATAACCTAGATGGGGACAGGAGGCATTGTACTGATGGGCCCGGCCCAACCACCCAAACATGTGATCGATGAGCTCTCGCTCGAGCTAAGGATGCATGTGGTTCGTCTTCAAGATGCGCAGCGCAGATTTGATAGTGATATATATCTACGGTCCTTGCTTAGTCAAAAATTTGCCATTCTCTTGTTAACTTATATATTGATCTGACCCCATATGACCAGCTGACTGCTTGTCACCTTGCCTCATTTCTCAGCAGCAATCTTGGAGTCGAAGCGCGTGCAGATCGGTGAAATGTGGAGACTTTTTTCAGTTCATTTCTTCGGTTCCAATTCGATGCCCGATTCTTCTTCTTTTTTTCCTAACGAAATTTCCACATGGATGGTGTCCAACTTGAGAAAGTTGCTGCAACAGAACAGACAATGACTGACGCCGTGTTGCCTTGTGGCCGACTGCGGCTAATGACAGCTTTAGCACAGTTAAGATTAGCTGTGATGTGATGATTTGCCCGGCCGGGTCATACAACAAGGTAGTCAAAACTGGTTAACTGGAGATATTTACAGTAGGTTGATACTGTGCCAGCTCAGGTAACATCATCACAGTGCTGTGTTTGTCAAAGAAGGAGCCTACAAGTTTGAAGTACACTGCACGAGAGCTAGGCTCCAAGAGCCCAAGAGTAACCAGCTGTGCTGTCACAATTTCTGTTCTTTGACCTGTTGCTCCTAGTGTTATATAACCCGGTTGAAATGTTCAAACAGTTGAATTTAATTAGTTAGCCAACGGTTTTGGTTTGGTTAGATCTATTTGGAACTTGTTTTGATTGACTTGTTGCACACTACCTCTGTATCAAAAAGGATGTAATTCTAGATTTGGATTGAGTCGAACCTCTTTAATCTTGATTAATTTATAGAAAAAATTATTAATATTTATGACTCCAAATAGATATACTAAAAATATATTTACAGTTAATCTAATAATATTTATTCGGTATCATAAATGTTAGTATTTTTTATATAGATTTGGTCAAGCTTAAAAATATTTGTTCTGAGAATTACATCGGTTTTCGAATGGAGGTAGTAAGATTCATTCTACACTCGGAAGACAGCTCATTTATTTTTGGGGTATAGGAACGAGGGAATGGGAGTTTAGAGGTATGAATAGTCTAGAAATCTTTTGTTTGTTTCGTAGGAGTGGAAGTTAAGATGGGATGGGAAATGGGAGTTTAGAGAGCCAACTCACACCAATCGTCACTTCCCAGGGAAAGTTATAGAAGTTGAGTAGAAATTGTGCTTAAGGTAGAACATAAATGCATCCTTCGCATTCATCATGACTTGTTAGATAATTTCTCACTCAAATATCCACAAACCAAATAGAGGATATGAATTTCCTTTTAAACCCCTCTTCCTTCCCTCAATGAACCATGCAAGGGATTATAACTAATATTAATTCCGTTAGTCAACTCCCACCACCAATTCCTATGACCCTCCCCACCTAGTTTTGAAACCCACTGTCTATGGTCCGGGCAAGATAACTGACAGGATTGAT